CACCACCCAAAGGGGAGACAGACAAAAAGGCGATGTCCTTTATGTTGAGGCAGGGGATCGGCCTTGGGAACATGAGGGCAAGAAGGAGCCAGCTGGGTGACTGCTCCTGTGAAGATTGCTCACTGTCCTACCATCAGGTAGGAAGGTAGACATCGTGTGTGAGAGGCACTGGAGAGCGAAGCCAAGAAGTCCGGGTGGTGTGGGAAAGAACGTAGCAATTTGAGAAGCATGCCGTGCAAGCAGCCCAGTACTTGTGCATCCACTTCCTGCCCAGTAGCAGAACGCTTGTTGGGGTTCCCAGCCCTCCCCCACCCACAACATGGCAGGAGAATCTCCCTGCCCCTGCACCAAGGGGGGCTAGTTTGATAACACCGGGTATTAAAACCGTGGGGATGGGGCCGGCGCTGTGGCGCAGCAGGTTAAAGCTGTGGCCTGCAGCACCAGCATCCCATATGGGCGCCAGTTCAAGTCCCAGCTTTTCCACTTCTGATCCAGCTCTCTACTATGGCCTGGGAAAGCAGTAGAAGATGGCCCACGTCCTTGGGCCCCTGCACCCACATGGAAGACCTGGAAGAAGTTCCTGGCTCCTGGCTTAGGATCAGCTCAGCTCTGGCCATTGCGGTCATTTGGGGAGTGAATCAGTGGATGGAAGACCTCTCTCTCTCTCGCTCTCGCTCTCTTGCTCTTTCAAATAAATAAAATAAATCTTAAAAAAAAAAAAAAAAGCAGGGAGAATTTCATACGCGGAAAACCCTTGGTCCACCAGTATCCCAGAAGAAAGGGGAAGAACTGGCCTCCATGCCATAAAGACCCCAGCCTGAAGGTATTCAACGGGGCACGGTTGGGTTCTTCTGATGAGCCGCCCACCCATCCAGTCACAGGTACTACTCGTTGAGCTTTGCTAGCTTGCTTACCGATGCTCTGTCTTGCAGTTTTTCCTGCCCTCAGGGAATGCGCACTTGTGAGTTCTGTGGGGTGGCCTTTCATTCTTGAATGTCTTTTTCTCTTTCACTCCAGAGTGAATGGATTGCAGAGGGCTGGCCAGGAGGAGAGCTTTGGCTGCATAGTGCCATGGAGCTCTACAGAGGGAGCTTTGTCTTTGGACAAATCAGAACAGAGCACTGAGCTGTGTTTTATAACCCTCATTAGAAACACACTTGACCACACCACACGAGGTCTTTGAACCACTAGTCTGTGGCTGGAGGGCATAATTCCAACTTTACCAAGAGCTGCTGTCCTAGGAGTGTGAAATAAGGGTAGAGCTCAAAATGCATTGCTTCTCCTCCTCGGTGCTTTCAGTCTCTCAAATTCCAACTCCAGCCGGCGTCGCGGCTCAATAGGCTAATCCTCCACCTTGCGGTGCCGGCACACCGGGTTCTAGTCCCGGTTGGGGCGCAGGATTCTGTCCCGGTTGCCCCTCTTCCGGGCCAGCTCTCTGCTGTGGCCAGGGAGTGCAGTGGAGGATGGCCCAAGTGCTTGGGCCCTGCACCCCATGGGAGACCAGGAAAAGCACCTGGTTCCTGGCTTCGGTGGCCATTGGAGGGTGAACCAATGGCAAAAGGAAGACCTTTCTCTCTGTCTCTCTCTCACTGTCCACTCTGCCTGTCAAAAAAAAAAAAAAAAAATTCCAACTCCAGCCTAAGCAGTGACACATTACCTTGGTTTTCCTACTTACCTATTTTCACTACCTACCTCCCTGAGTCATGGGCTCTTCTCTACCCTGGTGCCGGGGACTCCCTGGGCGCCTGCATTCCTTGCTAACCCTTCCTGGTCTGGGGAAGCTCAGAATTCTGCTGGTGCCTCTTATTGTCAGCACCAACAGGAGGGAGAGGGAAGGAGGGAGAGAGAGACAGGCAACATGAGTTCAGGGGCTTCCTGTCAGTGAGTGGCTGGAGCTGACACCAACACATGGAAAAGCTGCCATAAGAATATAAGGGAAAGGGTGCAGTAGGCAGTGTGTATGTTGTGTTTACAGTGTTGGATCATTGCTGCCCAGGCCCTCCTCTGACCTTGTTGTTGGAAGTGTAAGGTCTCCTGACCCTTTGTTAAGGTTAACACTAAACCCTGCTGACTTCTCTCAGGTCCCCCATAATGATTCCGACACAGTGGCTCTCCAAGCACCTCCCACAAGCTTACATGATTTGTGGCTCAAAGCTGCTAATAGGCAAGCTAAACTCATAATAAGGAGAGAAGGACCTGGAATTTTGGTTGGGAATGGTTTGCTATTTCAAAAACAGCATCCAAGGGATGAATGGTCTAGCAGTTAAGATGCCACTTATGGGGCTGGCATTGTGGTGTTAGAGTTGGATTGCTCTTGCCACCCCAAAAACGCTCCAAGAGACTTTCTCATGCAATTAACAAAGGGTAAGGTTTATTGATGATCTGACATGTCGGGGCCCCCGTCCCAGTACAGGCGAGCGGCCCCAAATAGTCTTGGGTTGGGGTTTTTATACACGTTTAAACAAAGAAAATCAATCATTGCATAGATCAGACAGAGGTATAGAGTAAACAATTGATACAAGTTAAGTGATTTTACAACCAGTTGATTTATGAATACAGGGAGTACAGGATATCGAGTAAGGGCCTGATTAGACCTCAGAGAACCATATGACCTATACAGGGAGTATCAAAAAGCCTCCTATTGCCAAAAGGGAGGGCCACACAACAAACACAACAAGGTTGCAGGAACTGCCTTGATGATACCTAGGAATGCAGCCGAATGACGATAAGGGACACATGGTGGGGTCAGGGTTCCAGGAGGCAAAGAGATATACGGTGACTTCTTCTATCTTACTTAGGTGAAACTAAGGTTACGCTCACATTGGGGTAATTTACTGACTAATTAACTTTACAGAGAATGGCTATGCAGAGCAAGTCTAACGAGGTCAGGAAAGTTCACCAGAGGAGGTGGGGGGGGGGGAGCGGCTTTTAACTTTTTAACCCTTCAGTGGCACCAGCATTTCTCATAAGTAGTGGAAGATGGCCCAAGTATGTGGACCCCTACCCCCAATGTGGGAGACCCAGATAGAGTTCCAGGCTCCTGGCTTCAGCCTGGCCCAGCCCTAGCCATTGTGATCATTTGGGGAGTGAACCAGCAGATGGAAGATCTCTCTCTCTCTGTCTCTTCCTCTTCTCTGTAACTGTGCCTTTCAAGTACAATAAAATCTTAAAAAAAAAAAAAATGCTACTCCCCACACCCACATCTCATATTGGAGTGCCCGGGTTCAAGTTTCAGCTCCACTCCTGAATCCAGCCTCCTGCTAATGCAGACCCTAGAGAGCAGTACATGATGACTCGCAAGGACTTGAGTCCCTGCCACCCTCAGGGGACCTGGAAGTGAGTTCTTGGCTCCCAGCTTTGGCTGGACCCATCCCTGGCTGTTGTGAGCATTCAAGGAATGAACCAGTGAACAAGAGACCTCTCTCTCTCTTTGTGCCTCTCTGCCTTTCCAACACAATGAACACACACAGAGTCACATAGCAGTAGTCCTTGTGAGAAAGCATGCACATTTCCTCATACCTTCTATGTGGTTTAATTTTGCCTTTTTTTTTTTTTTTTTTTTAGACAGAGTTAGTGAGAGAGAGAGAGAGAGAGAGACAGGGAGAAAGGTCTTCCTTGTGTTGGTTCACTCCCCAAATGGCCACTATGGCTGGTGTGCTGCACTGATCCGGAGCCAGGAGCTAGGAGCCAGGTGCTTCCTCCTGGTCTCCCATGAAGGTGCAGGGCCCAAGCACTTTGGCCATCCTCCACTGCCTTTCTGAGCCACAGCAGACAGCTGGACTGGAAGAGGGGCAACCGGGACAGAACTGGTGCCCCAACCGGGACTAGACCTGGTGTGCCGGCGCCGCAGGCAGAGGATTAGCCTAGTGAGCCGTGGCGCCAGCTAAATTTGCTTTTAACCACTGCCCCAACCAAGGAATATGACCAACTCTGTTGTAATCCTAATTAAAAATCAATTCTCAATCTTCGCATGTGGACACAAGCCACAGCTGATTGAATGGTGACACAGTCCCATGGTGAACTCCCTTTGACAAGAAGCCATGAGCCCCCGCCTGGCTAAAGCTGGCTTAAAGATTCCGCACAAAAGCAGCAGCATTCTCAGCTTCACAGAACCCCCAAGTCCCCTCAGGACAATGCTAAATCTCTACTCACAACCAAGCACAGTACATGATAATTTAGTGGGCGTGTCTTGTGAATACTGGTAGCCCTTCCCAGAACTTCCCTAAAATGTAATCAATAAGTATGACTTCCCTGAAAGCAAACTTATGAAACTTGGGTCTCCTGTCCTTGAGAAGCCTGGTTTGTAGTAGATAAACTTGTTCCTGGCTTGGCCAGCCAAAATCAATTCCTTTCTGTTCCCAGCTGAAACCATTGTTGGAGTGTTTCCACTGGCACGCAGGCTGGTGGAGAACGCTTGAGAATGCTGCCCGAGTACACTCTGAACTTGGATACTTGAAGGAGGCAAATGCAGTCATCACACCCGTGCTGGTGACACCTAAATATCTTCATGTAGTCCGAGGTTCCAGGCTCAGCAGCTGTGCCTTTGGTCCTCAACAGGGTAAAAGGGATCCTACCGAAGAGCTTCATATTCCATACTCCACTGGAAGAATTTCTGTGTCGAAATTAGCCTACGAGGGCCGGTGCCGCGGCTCACTAGGCTAATCCTCCGCCTGCGGCGCCAGCACCCTGGGTTCTAGTCCCGGTCGGGGCGCCATATTCTGTCCCGGTTGCTCCTCTTCCAGTCCAGCTCTCTGCTGTGGCCCGGGAGTGCAGTGGAGGATGGCCCAGGTCCTTGGGCCCTGCACCCCATGGGAGACCAGGAGAAGCACCTGGCTCCTGGCTTCGGATCAGCGCGGTGCGCCGGCCATAGCGGCCACTTGGGGGGTGAACCAACGGCAAAGGAAGACCTTTCTCCCTGTCTCTCTCCCTCTCATTGTCCACTCTGCCTGTCAAAAAAAAAAAAAAAAAAAAAAAAAAAAAAAAAAAAAGAAAGAAAGGAAGAAATTAGCCTACGAGCACAGACATTCTGAAACCCGGCCCTGCCTCTCTCTTGCCAGTACCTCAGCTCCTCCTCTTGGCCCGCAGGGAGTCAAGAGGGGAGCGTGCTCTCTTTCTCAATGCCTGTCTCGTCTCTGCAGGTCACTTGGCCCTCAGTCTTCTGAGACATTCTATTGTCCTCTCCTGTTCCTTCCTGGGGTCAACTGAAGCTCACCCACCCCTGGTTTTATTTTCTCTAGGGTACCCATAGAGACAATCCACAATGGAGTCTCCATCAGGAGCATAGAAAAGGAGGACAATTCTTGGTCCTTTCTCTTATCCCGTCACAAGCGTCCTCACCTCTGCTTGACTAGTCCAGAGCTCAGGAGTACTCTTTGTAATGCTCCTTGAGTTACTCTGGGAAAACGGGTCTTCTGGGGCTGGCACCAGAGCCCATTTAACAGCACAGTGTATGGAGGGACTGCAAATGCCAGGCTACACGTGCCAAATCCTTCATCTGGGTTATCTTCTTTAATCTTCCCAACAATCTCATAAAATAGGTATTATTGTTATTAACTCCTGCTATGTCAAGGAAGCCACTGAAGCACAGATTAACAAAGAATTGTTCAAGGTCACATAGCTAGAAGGTGGCAGAGTCGGGGTTCAGGTGTAGCTTTGCCCTGCTTAAGTTGTTCCCACACTTGGAATTATTAACAGGTAGATTATCTCAACAACACATATCCACATTTTAAAATGCTTGAAAACATAAATTTAATGAGTGGATACCTATTTTGATTACCTTAAATATACACTATGTTAAATGTCTCTTGATTGAGAGACTCTCTATGTGGTTTTTAGGGGAATAGTGGGACTTGAGGCACCCATCACAGAAACGTCAGAGATGAAGAAACTGTTGGGATTTTTCTAGACTGGAGCCAAGGCTAGTGCTTGAATCTTTCTTTCTCCCAGGGATTTCACAGATCAAGTGGAAAGTCAGACACAGCCCAAGTGTTGGAAGCTGGCAGAAGGCAGATCCCATGAAATGGGGCATACGATGGGCATAGAAGAGATGACATGGCTCGCTTGCCTTAGCTGCTCCTTCTTCAAATACAGTAAGAAAGGGACAAAGAGGGTGGAAAAAGAGAAGCTCAGAATCCCTACATCAAGAAAATCAGCAGCATTGCAAGCAACCCGTGTAACAAAAAGGCAAATCCAAGCATCTCCACAGATCGTCATACGATTCAGACGAAGCCCACGCTTCCCGATTCTACTTCGCGATGGCGGAAGTGGGACTCTGCAAACCTCCTTTCTGCTTTGCCAGTGGCTCTCCCATAGGCTCTGCTGGGTGAGAGGTGGGACTTCCTGTTTGCTTCTGATCTACTTCCTGTCTCTGTGGGCATCTCCATGTCAACGCCTGTTTCTCTCGCGGTGGCAGAGGCTTTGTGTAGCTGCTCTAGCTTACAGTACGGACACTGGCCGACTGCCTTACTCTGTGCTGAGAGACGTCAGCCCTGGTTTATCACTGCCTCCTTCTAGGGGCTCCGAGTTTTGGCTTCATGGGACCCCTCTACCCAAATTTTAAATGTAATAATTTCCAATTTCTCCAGCCTAGGGATGGTAGCTACTGCCAACAGTTGCTCCTCCTCTAATAATTTAGGGTTGCCACCACCCCGCTCTGCTTACTTACTTTCTATCTAGTTAAATTCTTTATATTAAATTTTCTGTGTTCAGATATTTGGCCAGGAATGATACATTATTGGAGGGGTGGTTGGGTGTGCAGTGGGGAGAGGCAAACTGTGTCAACAGCCTTGAAACAAGCATTTTCCACACTGCATTGTTGAAACCACCCTTTGGGACTCTCCTTTAAGATCAACAACCCGTAACGCTAGCCAGTCTTTAGACTATTGAGAACCCTGCACCCAGAGGTGTTAGTGAGAGTGAACTGTGCTCTGGAGCCCTGTGAATATTTTTACAACGTAAGGTAATGACAGGCAAGTGGATTTTTTATTTTCAGCTGTTTTCTTTGGAGGTAGAACTCAGGTTTTCAATTGTTTGTCTTTCTATTAAGGTGAAATAACAAAATCAGAAAAACAAAAAAAACCTCCTTGAAGAGTATCCTTAGTGACTCACTCCTAAAATGTAACATGAGGGAACATGAGGAGTGACACTTGGGCTCTCAGATGAAAGGAGGCAGGGACATACCTGTGTCTTGCCGTGATTCTTTGTTGAAGGGGAAGCCTTTTCAGTTCTCGTAGGAACATTGACAGATGACTGTGAGTAGTTGCGTGGCAGAAGAGGATAGGGCTACAGTGGGCTGTCCTGGTTGAAATACCTGCTGGCCTTCTCGGATTTTGTCAGCAATTTTTTTCCCATCCTTCTCACTTCCCTGAATGACTCACACTTGAGAATACGCTCCTGGATGCTTTATCTGAGTTTGCTCTGCTATCTGCGAGCAGCGAGCCAAAGGTGAATGATAGAGCCACCAGCTGCCCTGTACTTTGCAGAAATCGAAGAGGAGTTTCTTGAATGTTTTGTGACTATCAGAAAATATAATTTGGCGGGTGAGAAGAAGATTAGGAGATAGGCTTCACATTTGCTTCAATGGAACCCAACTGTCTTCACTTGGAAGCAGACTGACACCCTGGTAAGAGATCGTCTTAAAGCAGGAAAGAAGCAATTAAAGGTGAGAATTTTTTTAACTTTTAACTTTTCTTAGATTCCCATAAAAATTTTTTGCTAAAGAGCATACAGTCTGAGGCTTAGAAAGAGAGGCAACAAGGGAAAAGGAAAATAGTAATTGCTAGAAATATTTGTTTCATTTTGATCTCACTTTGTAGGATTTTTTTTCCTCTGATAGTATGAGTTTTCAAAAAGTTAATGGAAATGCATATGGTACAATGGATTTCCAAAAGTTTCATACCAAAATATTCCATTTTCCATGAACTTTTTAGTTTCCTAGTATCTCAGTTTCTTCAGCAGCACTCAGTTCTCTGTGTTAAATTTAAAAGGTAGGTGGGAAAGTATTAAGTTTGCTGACAAAAAGTTGAGGGTGAGGGTAGTAGAGAAGAGTCCCAGATTTGATTTTCTTAATTCTTACACCAGAGGTGATAATTGCAAGTTACTTAGCTTTTGTTTTCCTAATAACAATGCATTTCAGATTGGTTGTGAAGATTAATAGAATGAGTAAAGAAATATTTCTGGCCCATGGCAGACACTCATTGAATATTATATACATAGAGCTGTGTGTCCCTGTGTAGATTTATTTTAAATTCGCTGTCTGGATGCAGACAGTATATTTGGGGAGGGGGGAGTAATAGTAAATTGTTTGTGAATTCTTAAGAACATTTTTGAAAAGGGGTGGCTGTGAACCACCTCTGACCAATGAATTACACTTGTAGGTAGAGACAAGCATCTTCATCTATAAATTGCTAGGTAAATGTAGTTGTACTTGTAAAAGGACTTTGGGATTTCTAGAACTGCGGCTGAGAGTCTGAATTTCATGGCTCTTTCTCTGCAGTCGTATTAGAAATTGCAGACCCCATATAAGATTTACATTCTAGGACGGTAAGGAGCGGGAAGGAAAATGAGGAACGAAGGGTGGGGACTTCCTCTGAGTAATTAGACCTTTACGTCAGTCGGTGTGCAGTTCATTACTTTGCTTTCTCTATCCAGAGGTAGATGGAGTGGAGCCAAATCCTAATCTTGGTGTCGTAAGGTAGTTTGTAGGGTTAACTTAGAGATTTCCGTCAGGAAGCCAGGTGTAAGAGGCTCCTAGGCAGGTCTTTACCGAGGGTATGCGTCCAGAGAACAAATACACTTTTGCCTTCAGTTCAGAGTTGAGCTTCACATTCCTGGGTCTGTGTTCGCGACTAGTTTGTAATCAGAGGCGTTTTGTTCCATCAAAGGATTCCGTCCTCCTCCTCCTTCTCTGTGCCCAAACGCCACAGCAATCCCATTCCATGAAGATGACTCAGTGGAGGAAACTCTGCCGGCAGTGTCACCTTTGGGTCCTGGGGTGCTATCTGCTGCTGGCCATTGTCTCCCTGAGACTTTCTCTCAGATGGAAATGTGACTTTGAGCACCTGTACCTGGACTCCAGGCGACTTCAGAGCCAGTACTGTAGGGACATCTTGTACAAGTCCCTGAAGCTGCCGGCAAAGAGCTCCATCAACTGCTCGGGGGTCACCCGAGGAGACCAGGAGGCGGTGATCCAGGCTGTTATCAATAATCTAGAGATCAAGAAGAAACGGGAACCTCTCACAGCTGCTCACTACCTCGACCTGACCAGAAACTGTGAGCGCTTTAAGGCTGAGAGGAAGTTCATAGTGTTCCCCCTAAGCAAAGAAGAGTTAGAGTTCCCAATTGCCTACTCTATGGTGGTTCATGAGAAGATTGAGAACTTTGAAAGGCTGTTGCGAGCCGTGTATGCTCCTCAGAACATATACTGTGTCCACGTGGATGCGAAGTCCTCAGAAAGTTTCAAAGAAGCAGTTAAGGCCATTACTTCATGCTTCCCCAACGTCTTCATAGCCAGTAAATTGGTTTCTGTGGTTTATGCCTCCTGGTTAAGGGTGCAGGCTGACCTGAACTGCATGGAAGACTTGCTGCAGAGCCCGGTGCCATGGAAATACTTCCTGAATACATGTGGGACGGACTTCCCTATAAAAACCAATGCCGAGATGGTCCGGGCCCTCAAGCTGTTGAATGGGAAGAACAGTATGGAGACAGAGGTACCCACGGAGGCCAAAAGATACCGCTGGAAATATCACTATGAGTTGAAAGACACATTGTATATAACCAACAGGAAGAAAGACCCTCCCCCTTATAATCTAACTATGTTCACGGGAAATGCCTATTTCGTGGCGTCTAGAGAATTCATCCAGCATGTCTTAACGAACCCCAAATCCCAAGAACTGATTGAGTGGGCAAAAGACACCTATAGCCCCGATGAGCATCTCTGGGCTACCCTTCAGCGCGCGCCATGGATGCCTGGCTTTGCTCCCTGCCACCGCAAGTTTGACATCTCAGATATGACCGCCATTGCCAGGCTTGTCAAGTGGGCGGACCATGAGGGAGATGTCACTGCGGGTGCACCTTATGCACCTTGCTCTGGGATCCACCAGCGGGCCGTCTGTATCTATGGGACTGGAGACCTGCATTGGATACTTCAGAACCATCACCTGTTGGCCAACAAGTTCGACCCCAAAGTGGATGACAATGTCCTTCAGTGCTTAGAAGAGTACCTACGTTACAAGGCCATCTATGAGACTGAACTCTGAGACACACTGTGAAAACGTTGCCCCCAGTGAGGTGGGAACATATGCAAATGTGCCAGCACTTGCTGGAACCATGTGGGGTGGAGAGCAGGACTTTGGAATCCATGCCATTCCCCCAGGACACAGGGGCTACTGCTGGGGTGCGGATGAATGGATTTGCTGCCTTGCAAAGTGATACCTGGGTGACTGCTGAACTCTTGCCCTTATACACAGTAGTTCCTTCACTGACTTCCTCACAGAGTAAGTAGCACTGTTAATTGGGAGAGGAAGGGAATGGACATGTGACAAGGGACCCTGGATTGTGATTGAATTCTTGATGTCAGGTTTTGAACTCTGCGGGGATGCTGTTCCTAACAATGTAAGACTTGGTAGTGGGAAGCGGACTTGGATGGAATGAACGTCTTCCTTTTTGTACTGGTAACTTAAATGCCTTTTGATCCAAAGCCTTACCACTACTTTTTGTCTAATAGGGCAGAAATAATATAAATATGAGCAGATAAATGTGTGAGACTCTTTCTTTCTTTTATTTTTATTTTTTTGACAGGCAGAGTTAGTGAGAGAGAGAGACGGAGAGAAAGGTCTTCTTTCCGTTGGTTCACCCCTCCAAATGGCTGCTACGGCCGGAGCGCTGCGCCGATCCGAAGCCAGGAGCCAGGTGCTTCTCCTGGTCTCCCATGTGGCTGCAGGGCCCAAGCACTTGGGCCATCCTCCACTGCCTTCCCAGGCCACAGCAGAGAGCTGGCCTGGAAGAGGAGCAACCGGGACAGAACCGGCGCCCCAACTGGAACTAGAACATGGGTTGCCGGCGCTGCACGCAGAGGATTAGCCTAGTGAGCTGCAGAGCCAGCTAGACTCTTTCTGATGATCACTGGAGACATTTAAAATCTCTAGTGGCAGAACAAGAGAATCTCCGTTATTTTCAAATGGTCCTGGCAAGCTGTATGAGCAGAAACTCCACAAGTGTATAGAGGAGCAGAGTTGCTGTTTGATTATTGAAAGTCCTTGTCCTCATTTGGTTTTCATCACCAGATTCATGACTTTTCTGTAAGGGTGATTTAACCAGGTTGACCACCCATATCCTTAGGGGAAAATTACAGCACTAATTTTTCCAGCTTCATTGCCAAAGTTTAATGTTCCGTAACAGAGATAATAGCCATTTAGATAAGGTCCCAGATAGTTTATTATCCAAACTGGCACACATGTTGGTTGGGGGAGGGGCTGAACTATTAATAATTTGGTTAGGAAGCAAAAATAAACTAGGACCCTTTGACACAACCAGGATATTTGATTGTTTCATTGTTTAGCCTTCTTGAACTAAAATTCTTCAACATGTGAGTGAAAGGGTTGATCTCCAAGTTTGTAGATTATACATTTTCTTTTGGGGAGGCAATGTGTAAATACATAGTAAATGTATTTAATGTGTAAATACATAATAATGTGTAATTTATTATGTAATAAATGCACAATAATGTGTAAATGTGTAATTATGTAATAAATATAAATAAATTATGTAATAAAAATAAATTATGTAATAAATACATAATAATGTGTAAATGTGTAAATACATAGATGTATGCACCTGTGTATGTATATATGATATGTGGATATATGTGTTTGTACACACAGACACATATGCCCTACTTCCCAAATGTTACCCAGTGAAATAGTTCCCCTTCTGAAGTTCCAGAGATGGTTGTTGGCTTTTAGTCACACTCTTCAGTAATGACAAGAGAGGCTGTGAAAACATAGGCAAGTGTTCTTTGAGTGCAGTGGTGTCTTCTACATACACTATGCTCTGGATGAGTGATTGATGTGCAAGTTCATTTACGTGACTTGAATGCTATTCCTGTGGACAGCCCATCATGTTGTTAATGTATTTCCTCATACCTGGTTGTGATTCAATTGTTTTATCACCAGCAAATGACTCTGCATTCCATGGAACTAACACAGTTATAACTGTATCTGATATGATGAATTTTCTGCTTGTAAGTTAGTCATTCCTTTTTGTAAGGTTTTATTCCTTCAGTAATGTACATTGCCAGTACCAACTTAGCTGTATTGGCATACTGAGTCTGGTGCGCTTTGCCCCCAGCCCCACTGTGGTGATGACTGATGGATAGTCATGCTTGGTGGATGTGCCCTGTATGATCTGTGGATAGGTGGGTGGTCACGGAACTCCCACCCTATCCTCTGTGACTTTGGTTAGCTCTCCTCTGCTGGGACTGGGAGGAAGCAAGAAAGTGTCTAGGAGTACACATGTTCTGGGAAAGGAACCCAGCACTTTGACCTGATGGTCAATTTGTAAAAGTTCTCATGTGAAATAAATTATAATTGTTCATGTAAAAGAATTAAAAAGATTAAAATGTAAACCTTTATTTGGGGCACAAGTGGTTGGAGTTTTCCAGACATTGAAATTTTCTCTAGAAATATATTCAGGTGAATAAGAAGTTCTCTTGACTTAACACAAGGTCTTAATTTCAGAAATTAAATTTCTTCCTCATTTGCTTAATATATTTTTAGAAATCATGTAATTAAACCACCATAACTGTTGATTTTTCCTTCCTTCTGAGCCATATCTGTTTCTATAACTTTTCTCTAGAAAGGAAACATCTTAGAAATTAATTAAGCAACTGTTTATATTGCCTCTCAGGATTTGAATTTCCTCTTTATTTTTGATCTGTGGACTATTGGTAAGCATTGCCTTAATAATATTTTTGTTGAATATTTTGCTCATTGTCATACTTTTTTGGCTGAGTGGATTTTTTTAAGAGGAATAAAAGGTACTCGATAACTTTGGGAAATTTTGGAAGCAGGATTTAGTTGGAAGTCAAATATTTTTACAAAAAGAAAATAATTCAATATCTGCCTTAATATTTAATAATAATTAAATACCTGGATTGACCTGAGAATGTTACCTTTTCATTTAGTGGATCATTTATTATAGAGATACATAAGATAGGTTTTTCACTTTTATGAACTTTGTTGTCTTGACAAGCAGTGAAATAACTCACTCATGTCTTAAGTATTAATTGAGCTCTTATTTTTTTTTTCCAGGCACTGTTCTTGACATTGGGGAGATAGAAGTCAAAAAAATAGACCAAAATCCTGCTACTATTCACATACTAGTAGGAAACAGGTTGTAAATAAGTAAATAAGTGTTAGAAGACAACAAGTACTAGAGGGAAATGAAGGAAGAATTGATGGAGACCTTGGCGTGTGGGTGGGAAGATGCTTAATATTTTAATTAGGGCTATCAAGAAGGCCCTCAATGAAAAGGTGACATTCAAGAAAGGATCCGAAGCATATGAAGGAATGACCAATGAGACAAGAGCACCTTGAGCTAAGAGGATAGATTTGCCAGGCCCTGAAGCAGGAACATCCCACCATGTTTCTGCAATGGCAAGCAAGCCCATGCGAATGGAGCAGCATAGGGAGGAGAAGACTTAAGAGGGGCACATGCAAGAGGGTTTATTGCAAAGACCTTTGTCAGTCCATTACGTACACTTGGGCTTCACTGAGGGTTGGAGCATGGGACTGCCATGATGTGAGTGACATTGTAGCAGGGTGACTCTGGCAGCTGCATGGAACAGACTGGAAGGTGAGGGTGAAGTAGGGAGGCCAGCTGGGAGGCTAAAGCATGGATCTAGGCACTATGCAGTAGTGGTTGGGACTGGCAGTCCTAGTACAAGTTGTGAAAGTGGTTGGATCCAGAAACTACTGTTGAAGGTTCAGTTTGAAGACTTGCTGACAGATTGGTTATATGAGGGAAATGGAGAAGGCAAGAACGACCCCAGGGTTTCTGCTACGTTAGAAGGATGGCAATGCCATTGAGCAAGATGGAAAGCTTGTGAAAGAGTGGGTTTCTGATTTGTGGTAGTTAATATGTACAGTACAAAAAAATTTAATGTACATGAGTGAAACTGACATCCTGGGATTTGACTGTTGTTTATAGCTGTTGTTTATACTCCTGTGGAGCAGTGGCCTTTCTACATTTTAATTGGTGAACTCTTTATTTAGTAGAGGAATAAGTCTGTGATTATAAAGCAAATTAAAAATGTTATCACAAAAAAGAAAACTAATGGAGCAAAACCTTACAAAAGTGTGTGTCTGTGTGTATTGTGTAGAAGTGAGCAGTGGTCTCTTTGCCCTTTTATTAAATCATAGCTAAGTTTTTTATTTTTCTTCCCAGGAGCAATAACCTGAACATGTCTTCAACCAAATTATCTACAAACAGAAAATCTGTTGTATGAATTATGCTCCATTTTTGTAATATTATCATAATACGGTACTGGTGAAAATAAATAACAAAAAAAGAGTGAGTTTTTAGGAAAAGAGAATAAATTTGACTTTGAATAGATAAAATCAGAGGTGCCTATCAGACATCTGAGTAAAGATGTTGAAGAGGCAGACGTGGAAAGGAGTATGAATTCGGGAAAGATGTCTGGACTGGAGACACTTACCTGGTATGATCGGCTTATAGATTGTGCTATCATCTGCTGCCCCTGGATGACAGCCTAGGTTAGTCGATTTCCATTGCTATAACAAAATACCTGTGGCTGGGTACCTTCTAAAGAGGAAGCTTATGTACTTCATAGTTTTGGAGGCTGACAGTCTTAGATGGTGCAGTCCCATTGGGTCAGCTCTGACGAGGTCTTCCTTGGCTAGTCACATCATGGCAGATGACGTCATGGTGGAAACAAGTGTGAGAAAGATCACATGGCAAGACTGGAAACCAGAGAGAGGAGATGGGCTAGTTTCGCTCTTTTATAGTGACCCTTTTGTGAGAACTAACTGGGGTTCCCCAAGAATGCATGATGTCCAATGGCAGCACCCCATTGGCCTCCCACCAGGCTCCACCTCTTAATTCTACACCTCTCACAAAACCACACTGGAGTTTAGTTCCCAACACGTGAACCGCTGGGCACACACAGAAGCCACAGCAGAGCCTTAGAGGAGGAAACACAGAAAAGAGGCTCCTGAATGAATCTTGGCGCTCTCCAAATTGCAGAGGTCAGGTAGACAGGACCTAACAAAAGCAGGCTGGAAAGGAACAGCTGGTACGGGAGAAGGAAAACTGGAGGAGTGGGGTGTCGGGAAGCTAAGAGGGAAAATTGTCTCAGGGAAGACAGAGCTGATGACTACACCAAAAAACCTGCTGAGATCGTGTAACAAGAAAATGAGGAAGTGACTGTTGGTCTGAACAATGCTGAGGCCATCTCGCCAAGATGAATTGGTGTGGAGTTGCATAGGGGAGAACCTGCTTGGAGGTGGTTCAAAGAGGATGTTAGAACAAAATGATTCAGCGAGTACGGGTAAATCTTGAGGGGGAATTTACAATAAAGCAAGAGAAGGAGGAAACAGTGGTATAGGATGACAGGCTTTGTCTTAAACATTAGAAATGTGATGTTTATATGTAGATGGGAAAGATCTAAGCAAGAGGAGAAGACAGAGGAATGAGATGAGAGGCTGGCCAGTGTGACATCCTTGTAAAGACAAGACGGATGATTATGTGCAGGACGAAGGTTTGCCTTTGATGGACATGGAAGCAGTTTTTCCATAGTAACAGGAGTGAAGGTGGGGTGGCTGGGCTCAGGTGGATGTGGGTGTGGGATTTATGGAATTCTCTTTTTTTAGAATTAACATTATACTTGAGGTATCACACACAAACAGAAGAGTTCAAAATCCCAAGTATATAGCACATGAATCTTGACAAAGCAAGCACACCTGTGTGACTCGATCCCCGAATCAGGAAAAAGACCATGTCAGCTACCAAGAACACCCTTTGTGTGTCTCACTTCCACCCAAGCTGCTTCAGAGGTGATTGTCGTCCTGACCTCTAACATCGTAGATGGTGTTGCTTGCATTTGAATTGCGCATACTGTGTTCTGTCTGATTGCTGGCTCCCTGAACTTAACATTATGACATTCATCTTGTCTGTACTAGTAGTTCAGTGGTTCTCGTGGCTGTTTAATATTTCATTATATGCGTGTACTAGAGCTTATCCATTTTATCGTTGGTGAATGTTTAAGTTTCTGACTTTCGCCTGTTATGAGTCACACTGCTAAGAACCTTACTGAATGTGGTTTTTAATGGCTGTATGCGTGCATTTCAGATGGGTGTGTAACTAGGAGTGAAATTTCTGGCTGTAGGTATGCATGTGTTCACTTAGAGTGAATGGTGTCATCTAATTTCACCAAGGGATCTATTTAAATTCATATTAAGCAGTATGCTTAATTTTTCCACTTCCGTGTTGCCATCTGTCTGCCACATTTACCCTCCTAGTAGGTGCTGTTGGTATCAGTTTGTCTTTCCCTGATACTAAGGACTTGGAGCTGTTTTTCATATACTTTGTAGCCATTTGGATGTCCTGGAACTGGTCTTTCAGTTATCTTTGTCTTCTCAATGAAATGAAGACCAAGGTGACTTTTATGAAACTAATGATGAGGGAAGAAATATTAGTGATTTGGAAGGAAGGGAAGGTGTAAATAATTATTTCAGGTTAAGAAACTGGAAAAGAAACCAGATCAAGAAAATGAAATATAATGTCAGGTAGCCTTAAGGACACCCTGACATTAGGAAAAGTGAGCTTAAAAAAGAGACCAACTGTGGGATGGGCACCGTGGCGCAGAGAACTAGGCTGCTGTCTAGGAAGCCCACATCTCTATCAAAGTGCTGGCTCAGGTCCTGGCTACTCCGCTTCCAATCCAGCTTCTTGCTAATGCTTCCTGGGAGGCAGCAGCAGATGACGAGCCTTATGCACTTGGGCCCTGCCAGCCACATGGGAGACCAGATGGAGTTCCAGACTCCTGGCTTCCGCCTGGGTCAGTCCTGGCTGCTGCAGGCATTTGGAGGAGTGAATCAAGGGATGGAATCTCTCTCTCTTTTCTCTCATCAAGATGAAAAAATAAGCATTTTTAATTAAAAAACATTCACCTTCATGATTCATGCAGTCAGTAGGGAGAGAGAGGACAGGGTTGTTGGTGAGGCCAAGGCAACTTCGGAGGGCTGACAAGGTCACAGCAGAAGGTCTGTCTTAGCAAGGTGTGAGAAGGACAGCTGTGGTCCTCTTGGTGGTTTTAGGTTTGTTGGGAGCTACACTCCGCATAAGAAAGCCGGAGCTTCCTGATTGCTGTATTCCTAATTTTAGGGAAAACACTTAGTCTCACCCCCAAAATGTCCATTGCTTTGTAGAATTTTAATCAAGCAGAATGTTAGTATAGGAGAAAGGGTTAATGCTTTATGCAAGGTTGAGCTGTTTGTGGAAAAGAATTAAAAGGCAGCAGGCTCCCTGGTATATACTTCCCACTAAAATAAAGACAATGTCATTAAAGCTTCAATTCAATATATGCTACAAATACAACGATGGTTAGGATATCAAAACTGTAGAATAGATCTAAGCGAAGCTTTAAATAAGTACAATAAAGAAATTAAAGAATTACAGAAAGAACTGCAAAGAGGGGATACATTTTAAAAAGGGCCTGCTTTGAACTTGGGGCTTCTAGTAAAGATTAGATCAGGAAGGTACTATTCTAGCTTGTGTAGCCAATTTCTGCATAGCTGGGCAGCACTCCAGGCTTTGGCTTGTGCAGATAGCCCGTTATCTCGCACCTGTCCGTGATTGTAACCCATGCTCTGAATATGTCCTTGAAAATAAAAGAAATTGTAATTAGAAAAAAATGGACAACAGACTTGATATTCTGAGAAAAAAGAATCATTATGTGGCTTAGGATATAAAAATAAAGTCTGATGCTCGGAAGCCAGAGCCATGCCATCAGCCTTGCTGTGAGTGTCTCTCATTTCTTCGAGTGCCGACACCTCTCACACCTTGGGGCCCCTGGACTGGCTGGAGCTTGTCTCCGGCAGGTTGTGGTTAACCCAAGCAGGTATGGAAGAGGGCAAGGGAGGCATCGTGGAATTGAATCTGGGTGAAGTGGGAGGCTGGGGACAGTGCAGTGATAAGAGGGGTATAGTGGAGCATCCCATCCATGGTGTACGGGGCTGCTTTGAAGTGAAGGATTGGTTCTGTTTCAGAGAGTCTAGTAG